ACTGCTGCTGCTGCTGCCGCGGGTGGGAGTCAGCTGCGTGCGCGCTGCTGCTGCTGCTGCTGCTGCTGCTGCAGGAAGAGCCCGCGGCGCAGGGGGGCGGCTCGGAAAGCTGGGAAGGCGTTTGCCCGGTTTGTCTCCGCGGAGAAGCAGCAACAGAAGTCATTAAAATGGTCGCCTGCGACTCCTGCAACCGCTGGTTCCACTTTGAATGCGTGGTGAGCCGCGGTTCCCTCCGGGGGCCCCTAACGGCCCTCTCGGGGCCCCCTGGGGGCCACTAGGGGCCCCCAGGGGCTCCCTAGGGGCCCCCTGGGGGCCCCTAGGGGGCCCCTAGGAGCCCGTGGAGCCATCGGGGGCCCCTGAAGGGCCCTTGGGGAGCTCTGGGGGGGCGCCTAAGGGCCCTCTGGGGGCCCCCTGGGGGCCCTCGGGGGGCCCCTAAGGGCCCTTTGGGCGTTGGTGGGGGCCCCTAGGCTCCCTCTCGGTGCCCTCGGGGGGTCGTCGGGGGGCCCATAAGGGCCCTCTGGGGGCCCCCGAGGACTCTCGGGGTGCACTTATAAGGCCCCCGGAAGTGCATTGGGGGCCCTCTGGGGGACCTGGGGGCCCTCGAGGGTAAACCCTCTGGGAGTCCTCTGGAAGGCCTTTGGGGGCCCCTTGGGAGTCCTTGGGTCCCCCTGGTCCTGGCTGCAAGCCCGCTGCTGCTGTTTCCCTTTGCTGCTGCTGCGAGGCTGGTGTGGCGCGCAGCTGTGCTGCTGGGGGCTTCGCTGCAGCTGGGGCTTTCTGTGCATGCATGCAAGCTTCTCCAAAAAGCTGATTGGGAATTCTTTTGCGTCTTCTGCTGCCTTTGCAGGGGTATGCAGGCGAGACAAGAGAAGACGACACGTGGTACTGTCCTGACTGCTACCGTGGAGGAGCTGCGGGGGGCCCTTGAAGGGGCCCCACAGGGGGCCCTTCAAGGGGCCCCACAGGGGACCCCCCTAGAAGCCCAAAGCCCCTGTGGGGGCCTCTAAAAGCCCAGAGGCACCCCTAGAGGGCACGCCGAGGGCTTCTGTGGCCCAGAGGCACCCAGAGGCCCCTGTTGGAGCCCCCAAAGTCCAGGAACCCTCCAGAGGCCCCTAGAGGGTCTAGAGGCCCCTATAGGGTGTAGGGGCCCCTAGAGGGTCTAGAGGCCCCTAGAGGGTCTAGAGTCACCTACGAGGCCCCTTGAGGGTCTAGAGGCCCCTAGAAGATCCCCTGCAGGGTCTAGAGTTTGTACGAGGTCTACAGGCCCCTAGAGGGTCTAGAGGCCGTGAGAGGGTCTCTAGAGGCCCCTAGAGGGCCCCCTGGAGGGTCTAGAGGCCCCTAGGGGATCTCTAGAGGTTTCTACAGGCTTTCGAGGTCCCAAGAAGGTCTCTAGAGGCCCCTAGATGGTCTAGAGGCCCCTACAGGGGCCCCTGGAGGTTCTAGAGTACCTACGGGGGCCCCCAGAGGGGCCTCTGGGGAGGGGCAAAGGGGCCCTCAGCAAGCCTGCAAAGGGCCTCTTAAGCCAGGCTTATAGTGCCCAAGAGAGGCGTCACAGGATTAGTGCTCTCCCTTGCCGTCCTCTATTTGACGGGCAACGCAGCAGCTGCAGCAGCAGCAGCAGCAGCAGCAGGTCACGCTGCTGCCTCCTTGAAAAGGAGATTTCTATCTGTCGCTAATCTTTTGTAGCCCAACGAGCTAGGCAGCCACGAGAGGCAACTAGTGCAGAGCAGCAGCAGCAATTCAAGAAAGGAGAGGCAGAGAGGATGAAAAATATAGTAGACACGAAGTAGAAAGGTATTTGAAAGACACTGCAAAAGGTCGGGGGGCGCAGCCCAGAAGTAGTAGAGAGAACCAGCCGGGCTGCCACAGCAGCAGCAGCTGCAGCAAAAATGAGAAAGTAATAGCGGCGCCAGCAGCAGCCGCAGCGCCTGCAGTAGCAGCAGCGTCGCCTGCAGCAGCAGCAGCAGCGCCTGCAGCAGCGGCAGCAGTGCCTGCAGCAGCAGCAGCAGCGCCTGCAGCAGCAGCAGCAGCAGCTGGGCTAGGCAGCACAGAGCCTGTCGAGGTGGTCGTCGATGGCGCAGCGGCGGAACTGCATGCGGCGGCCGTGGGGGCCGGCGAGGGGCCCCTGGGGCCCCTCGAGGAGAGAGAGGCCCTGGACTGTGTCGAGGGTACCCTGGGAAAGGGCCTCGGAGAGGCCCGAGGGCCTCCGCCCGCGGGGTGGGGCCCCCAGGGTACTTTCCACGGCCAACAAGTAGTGCAGCACTTTCAGGCTGAGGGCCCCAAAGGCCTCCCACAGCTGCTGCCCCGACACTGCGCTCGTCTCCACATAACGCAGCCCCAAACGGCCCGCAGCAGCCTCGCCCTCCTCCCGAGTCACCTCCTGCAGCAGCAGCAGCAGCAGCAGCAGCAGCAGCAGCAGCGGCAGCAGAAG